ATTGAGGTGGACCATTTCAGAGACCTTCCTGTTCTGTGGTACAGAGTATAAATGTTTAGTGAGCCTCAAGGATGGGGAAACTGAGGCTCCTGGAAGCTGGGTCTTGGAGCTGGCAGAGGCAGAGTGAGAACTGCAGCATTCCAGACCCAGCACTGTCTGTCCACAGCTCTGCTGGGAATTTTGCCTGGCCTTGGAAGAGTCTCCGTCCATGACACTCTTATAAAACCACATGGGCTGATCCTTGACTCCAGCTCCCCAATCCCAAAACCTGAAATGTGTGTGCCTGAGAGCAAAGAAATGTGACATTTGTGTAGTTTTTGCATTTTTTTGATTCAAGAAGTAGTAGTATAAAGATTAAGTTATCATGAGTAATGCATCTGTATTTGTAGTTAAGGTGTCTGTCTTAGTTACTTCGTCATTGTGGGAAAAAATACTAGACAGCTACAAGTTAATGTAGGAATGGTTTATTTTAGCTCAGAGTTTGTAGAGGTTTTAGTCCATAGTTGGCCAGCTCCAAGGCAGGGCGGCATGGCAGATGGGCATGGTAGAGGAGAAATAGTCCATGGCATGGCAAGCAGGAAGCAGCAAGACTTTCTTCTTTCCCTTTCTATTCTATTTAGGCTACAAGCCAATTGGTTGGTGCCAGACACACCCAGGTTCAGTGTTTCCTCTTCAGTAAATGCATTATCCACACCCAGACTACACTAACGCAGTAAGTGGACTAATCCAGTATCACACACCCATGATCCTGTCTGTGGGGAACCGCTCAGACTGCTTGAAAGCTCAGGGATGTCTAAGGACACCTGAGGATGTGCCCTTGCTTGTCTAGTGCAGGTACACAGTGCGATACAGTTACATAACCATGATTTAGCACAGATAAACACACATAACACTGGTTACAGCACCATGTAAGAATGTAAATACGAAATAACAACCTGTGTAAGAATTATATAGTAAAGACACAAGTGGCTCTTGTTCTTGTGTTGTTGTGCTCTTGTGCTCTGCTCTGCTCCATGCTGCCTGATGTTGCTGATGTGTGTTAATCTTGGGACCTCACCCGTGAAAACCTCCCTTGTGCCCCCTGAGCGAGCTGACCCAGTCACTTCCCAAAAACCTTGCCTATGAACACATGAGGCTTTGGGGGACATCTAAACACAAGCTATAACAATATCTGACATATAATTGATTTCCAGTTAATGTAGGAGGAAACTCAGCTTTTTTATCTAACACTATTTTCTGCTTTTGTTATTAATACACTATTTTATCTATAAATAATGAGAAGTAATGAGGTATGTTCATAGAAAATCCAATTCACAGTAATGCAAACTAAAAAACGCTTGTGGATTTGCACGAAATGGAAATACACATCTTTGGAAAATTCTGCAGGTGTATTTCATACAAGTGAGAGCAAAGGAATTGATTTTCACTTTAGAAAAGGTTTGGGGCTTCTTTTGTTTGTTTTTTCTGGTGTGTTCAAGTCAGCTAATGGTCACTGTGGTTTGGTGGGAATCTAAATGGATGCTTTACCCTTGGACGGTGACCAAGGACAACCTTAGGACTTCCCTATGGTCTACCTCACTTAGGCTTCTTGATTAATAACGCTACTTCAGGAAGGCAAGTGCTATGGTGATCATTTTACAACAGAGGAAAGCAAAGCAGTGAGAAGTTAAATGGCCTGTCCACTCTACAGAACAGTCTGCAACAGAGCCAAATCTGAAATTGAGCTTTTCTTTTTTCTTTTTTTTTAATTTTAAAAATAAAATGAGGAAAACATTAACAGACAGACAACATTTTACAAAATAGCAAAAGAACAGTACAGACAATACAGAGTTACAGAGTGGTAGGAAATTAACAGTGCTTCTTGTATTACATATTGATATCTTCAAAGTGGTTTCTCATGAAAACAGAGACATGCAATATTGATCAATCAAGGACTCATTGACAGTTTCTTTCAGCAAAGAAATAGAAGACAGTAGGACAACTATGTTAACTATCCTGTATATACATATATACAAAATTTCTCCTCCTTTTCCTTCTTTTCCCCCATCCCAGTTGCCCTTTACCCTTGAGTGTTTTCCTATCATTTCACAGTGTCTATCATACCTCCTAGTTTAAGTTAACTGTTTCAGATTTTACACTAGTGAAACAATGTGGTGCTTGCACATGCAAGTCTGATTTATTTCACTTATGAGTATGGTCTCTAGTTGTGACCATTCACCTATAAAGTCCTCGAGTTTATCTTTCTTTATAGCTGAGTAATATTCCATTATATAAAAGAACCACAATTTTCTTATCCAATCCTCAGTGGATGGACATTTGGGTTGCTTCCACAATTTAACAGTTACAAATTGTGCTGCTATGAACATGGGTGCACACATATTGCTGTGATATGATGTTTTTAGATCTTCTGGGAAAATACCCAGAGGGGGAATAGCTGGGTTGAATGGGACCTCTAGATCTAGTTTTCTGAGGAATCTCCAAACTGATTTCCACAGTGGTTTTACCAGTCTGCATTCCTACCAGCAGTGGAGAAGCGTTCCTATTTCTCCACAGGCTTACCAGCATTTGTTATTGGTTGATTTCTTAATGCTAGCCATTCTTACTGGGGTAAGGTGGAATCTCACTGTTGTTTTAATTTGCATGAAATTGAGCTTTCCTGAACAAGAGTCGACTAGTCCTTAACCATTTCTATCACCTCAGGCTGCCAGAGCTAGGGGAAGTGAATTTCACTGAGACTGTGCCTATTTGATGGTTAGAACCAAAGCATTATTAGGGCATTATTGTGAAATAACACATCATGAGATACTTGTGGTGATGTTTTCAGCAGAACTTACAGGTCCAAGTCAGTAGAACTTGTAGAGTTAGGCCTGAGCTTGGGGCTTTCCCATGGTGGCAGAGCAAGGGAGTCAGGGGGCCTTTAGACTCTTTTCTCTCACCAACTCCAACCCCCTAAACTGCAGTCTAAGTTAATTAAGCTTAAGTAAAGGAATGTCTTGGCAGGTTCTAGTCAGATTTCCTAACCTGTCATTCCAAATAGCCTGTTGCCCCTAAGTCCTGTTTTCTCAGTCTTCAGACATAATTCTGTGATGGTACTATTGTCTCCATCTTGCACTTGGGTAAACTGGAGCTTTTGAAATAAAATTGGCATGCCCTAAAACAGTGCAACTGGTCTGAAGTCCTAACTGATCCTTCTGAGTCCAGGCTGGGTTCTGTGTAGCTTGGGACTACTTATGGACACTTAAATTATGGGAATTGCTCTAGTTGGCTTCCCATTACTATAACAGAATACTTGAGATGATTAACTTATGAGAGAAAAGGTTTAGTCACTTCACAGTTGTGGAGGGTCCAGTCCAAGACCCATCACTTTGGGTCCCTGGTGAGCATGATGAACAGCAGTGGTGGGGAGCCCATGGCGGTGCAGACTGCTTACCTCATAGCTGGACAGCAAAAAAGAGAGGATGAGACCAAGGCCCACGGTCTCCTGATGACCTTCCAGAAACCCCATCTTCCAGTAGGAATACTCCAGGGACCAAGCCTTTAATGGGTTTTGGTGGACACTTACCCTGTGGCAGGGTGTGTGTGTGTGTGTGTGTGTGCGTGCGCACGCGTCCATGTTACTTTAGAGTGGTGTAGAAAATGTTAGTGTCTAATGTGGGCTCAGGGTGCATAGAGGGGGCCTCCTTTTTGAAAGGGAGACATTGGATGAAAAGTGGCTGAAAGACACATTTGGGCTGATGACAGCTTCACACTTTGAAGCTGTCAGAATCCTTTTGCTGTCACCCCTGTGTTAGACAACTCCGCTTGGAATACTGAAAAGAATTCAAGCAAGAAATGGGGCTTTGACCATCCTGCCCCGGCTGGTTGTACGGCCCAGTCAGACCGTCTGGGCAGGCTTTTCTCTCCCAGGTACCTTCAACCTTTATTGGCCAGTTAATGTAGGAAGAAATGAAGCTGCCCCTACTCTTCATTTCCTTTTCCCAATCAGCTTGCCTCCTGAAAAGAGAAGGCACTGCCTCTTCTGAAGTGAGCCTGGGTATGATGAGCATTTGTATTTTTCACAGATAAATCACTGAACACATTTACTGAATCGTCAGGCTTTTCTGGACTTTGTCAGTGTGAGCAGGTTTTCTCTGACGGTGCAGTCACTTTTGATAAGTGCATCACTGAGGTTCGCAACCCATAGAAATCAACTTTGTGCTACCAAAAATGCATGTCCTCAGCCTTATTACTGCGTCATGTCAGGTTACAGAGCAAGTTCTGGTCATCTCTGTCTGTAACGACTGATGTCACAGGTGGCAAAGAACTACTGCTGAAATGGGAAAATTTCCTTCTCACATCCCTTGTTCATTCGTTCCTAAACACAGCCTTAGAACACTGCGTGACCTTCTCCTCTCCTAGATTACAGGTGCCCTGGGGACTCTATCTCATTCTGCTTTGTGCCCGTGGGGTTTGTCCTGCGCACAGTGGAAACTTCGTGTTCACTGAGCTCAACTGCACTACATTTTTCAATACAGAAGGGAAGTTGGGCGAATTCAATAATAGGTGGGCGAGGCTGGCACGCTGAATCGGAAGTCCATGCATGGTTCCTGCGGCCTTGTCCAGTTACTTAAATTAAGGATTTATTTCACGGCCAAAAGAGGAAAAATTCACATGAGATGGAAGATGGACAAAGCAAAGACCCCAGCAGATAAAGTCCTTGGCTCCTGTACTTCTTTTTACTATCAGCAGGCACTTATAATTACTGTGCACAGGGCACTGTGTTGGAACTTTGAAACCCGCAGACAGTTTTAAGCTTGTGCAGTTTCTTTTGGACATTGTTGAAATATGTAACCTAGAGGCAGTGCCATGATGTCTAAGTGGGAAGTTTTGTCAAGGCGCCTTGACATGGGAAATGGCGCTGGTGGTGGAAGATGGAGGGTGGGGAGTACTCACACTGTCTCTGGGAAGTTGGGGAGGTAGTGAGGAAATCCTTACCTGTTTCCCTCCTTTTCCACCTTTAGGCCTCTTGGTGGGTACCCTTGATGTGGTGTTGGACTCCAGTGCCCGGGTTGCTCCTTACCGAATCCTGTACCAGACTCCAGACTCTCTGGTGTACTGGACCATTGCCTGTGGTAAGTAACAGTATCCTGAGACACTCAAGATGCAGAGAAACTTTAGGATTAACAACTTTTTATCAGAAGGGAAGGAATAAGTACTTGCTGAATGCAACCATGTGCCATTTTAGAGCCGTGAACCTTAGCTGCTTTAACACATGAGCCCAACCTCTTAGTGGCTTAATATAGTAAAGGTTTCTTGCTCACTCTGAGGTCTCATTGGGATCACATAGCCTTCTCCATCTGTGGCGACACCCCATGGAAGGAACACACAGCCTCCAAGATCAATTTATAAGAGCGGCATAGGAAGATAGAACAGACTTGCGTTTAACTTCCTAGACTCAGAAGTGGCATGAATCACATTCCACCCGTACTCCATTGGCCGGACCTAGTCACATGGGCCCAACCTAACTGCAAGGGAATGTGGGAGGTAAAGAGCATGGGACCTCCCCGGATGTACTAAGTAATATCTCCTATGAGTGGCGGTCACTTATTTCTCCTTCTGATAATCTGTATGCTGTGCTGTGTTTAAAGTGGTAGCAGGGAGACCTGTATTGTTAGATCATTCACAAGAACTTCTAATCCAAAATAACTAAAGATTAAATTACTTGTTTGTGCATGGCTTTTAAAATAAACACAGAAAAAGCAAAGGCGCTAGATACTTTATTTTGCTCTATTTGATGTTTTTAATGTTAATACACTTTATAGAACAGTTTTAGATTTACAGAAATATTGAATAGATACTATAATTCAGAGAACTCCCATTTTCTCCCCACATCCATAATTTCCACTGTTATTAATATGTGAGCATGGTACCTTTGTTAAAATTAGTGAACCAATTATAAAATAAAGTCTGCGATTTATTCAAGTTTCCTTAGTTTTTCCTAAATGGTGTTTTTTCCAATTCCAGAATTTCACCAGTATACCATTATTATATTTAGTTATCTTATCCTCTTAGGTTCCTCTTGGCTATGGAAGACCAGCAATAACCTTGTAATAGAATCCTCCTCTATGAAAAATTTTGTCTGTTTTTCTTATGATGAGATTTAGGCTGCTAGGTTTTCTGAGGACAGTCACAAGAAAAAGTGTCATGTTCATCTCATCATGTCATGTGTACGTGTTATCAACAGGAACTTGTGACTACTGATGTCCTAGATCACCTGCTTTACGTAGAGTTTTTCTGGTTTCCCCACTTTGAAGTCACTCCTTTCTTCTCCTTTGCAAACTGTACTCGAGAATGAAGTCCTACATGCTCTATTTTTAAGGAATGGTGATTTTCCCCCTCTTTCAGACTATCTCTGTGTAGTTTTTTTTTTATTCTCCTGCTCTGTAGGTTTATTTTTTTACCCTCAATTATTAATTTATGCAATTATTTATGTCAGTATAGACTCTTGAATATGTACTTTATATTTTGGGTTATAACTCCATGCTATTTTAATTTTGTTGAAATTGTTCCAACTTTGGTCATTGGGAGTGCTTTCAGTTGACTTCATTCAGTTTTTAAAATTGAGCTTTACCTGGTAGGAAGTGCTGTGCTAGAATCTAAAGATATCAAGACAATTACATCTGGTCTCTGTTCTTCAGAAAGTCCCAAACTCACGAGGATACAGTAAATAGTCATTTATAACACAGTATGAACAATTACCGTACAGTTCCATTTGATTCTGAATTCCCAAAATACAGGATTCTAGGCCAGAGTTCTATGTTAATCGGGGAAAATACCTGGGTGTGATTTAAAGCTGCTAGAAAGCTCAGGTGACCTAGTAATGCTTCCAAAAGGATTTAAAAGTACCTAAAATTCCAACATGGTAGTTATATCCCTTTAGAAGTATTCTGCTTAAGATGCAAACTGCTCCACGGGAGACACTTGACTGTAGTGAATCATTTATACATTCCTGAGAATGAAAGAATGGCAAAACTACCCCCACTCTTTTTCTGGGCTTTGCCATTCTATGAAATAGGTCTTTGGAATATTAACATGGGGTTGAACATACAGTTATAAAGCCGAGTTGTTCCTAAATTATTTTCCAAGCCACAGCTAAGGACCACTAGGTTGTAATTGCCGATGGCATAATTTATATCCCAAAGAGATGTACTTTCATTTTCCCTATGAGTAATGCCTGTCACAGTTGCATTAACTCATTATAATCAACCCAGAATGGTTTTAGCTTTTGTATATATTGATTACCCATAGAGATAGCTTCAGATCTCCTTATGGAAGACCACGGAAGTGACAACCATTGTCAAGGTTTCATTTGCTCATTAATTTTTCTTGCTTAAAGATTTCTGATTAAAATCCACGTTACTGGCTTCCTTTTATGAGAAGATTTTAAGAGCAGCGGAAGCTGCTACCTTAAAGAGATTTCTTCAGTATGCTGACCTTTCTGTTTGTAACTTTAGTGTCCTTTTTCATAAACTACAAAGTTGGTATTTGGTAGGAAGATACATTGAAAGCTTTCAAATTCATTTAAGTTTCATGAATTGTCCATATAAGAGAAACTCCTGTGGAACACTGGGTGAGTAATTCATTGTCGTGTAGCAATCATAGGATTTGAAACCTTGTTCCATGTCACATGTCTTAAAATCATCAGCAAGCGTTAATTTAACTCAGCTAAAGGGAGTTTCTTCCATCAATGTCTGGACATATACAGCCTTCTGTAAATCAGCAGAATCTTAACTGTAAATCATAGGTGTATAATTTGCCTTAAACTTGAGTTCCAAGAAACCAAGTGAGAGGCATCTTTGGGACCCAGTGTAACTTACTGGCAGTGTGATAAAGAAATCCCTTGGCTCTTGGCAGCATGAACTGTATTGTGTGATGAACACCTTACTAACAGCACAGCCCTAGTAACCTAGATGTGGCCGCCCATTACTTTAGCTTTGCTTTTCTTTACCATTGCAGAATCTCATATGAACCTAGTTGGTCATTCACTTTAAGAGCTGGAGGATCCATCAGCCATCCCCTCATCCACTTTCTTATTTTAGGAGGATAGAAAGGCAAAGTGAATTTCACATTCCCAGTTACAGCTATTTACATGGAGCTCAAACCAACTTCTCAAGTCTCCAAGCTCTATCCCAGGATTTTTTAAGTGGCACCATGCTGGCTTTCATGATTAAACATTCTTTTCGTCAATAGCTCTGAGACCCAGAGTTTAATTAAAGATTTCTCATTGGTGTGCTCTTGCTGTTTCTCTACAATAGATAAAAAATGTGGGGTAATATTCGTTGCCTTCCACATGAGACAGACAATAATGTACAAGTTGTCAGGTATTTGTCTAGACCTTTCTTGTTCTGTGTGTCTCGAGGATTGTGTTTGTATCCTTGAGAAAACAGCGGCTTAAAAAAAAACAAAAAAATTTGCTTTTTTGAAAGTACTGCATGTTGATTGTAAAGATTAGAGTATAAACAAAAATAGTAAAAGAACAAAAAAAAGATTGCATACCACAGATATCATCTTCTAAATCTGAAACATATATATACACATTCCCTTTACATACTTCATATTTTCTTACATGTCAGTATATGTACTGTATATATCATATGTTAAATATATATGATGTATGAATATAGACTTGAAAGCAAATAAAAATGAAAATTGTATTTGATAGACTGAAAATAGTTTCCATACCAATAAAATACTTTATAATATCAATTGTGATAAATAGATATTAAATGTATGACAGTTTTTCTGATAGGCTATTAAAAATCTAAAGTTTTTTTTCCCTTCAATTTTGCTACACCTGACCAACCTTAATCAGAATCCTCCTTAGCAAACCTTGGACATTCCTCTATTACCTTAGGAATAAATTTATAGAAGTACATAAGCTGTGTCAGAATATGTTCAGCCAAGTTTCCCCCTAGGAATAGTCATTGACATCCCCACTGGCTGGGTCTGGTAAAATAAGGGTGTCAGCCACTGATTCTTACTGCCGGGGTCAGATGAGTTACCTGGGCCCTCTTTTCTCAAAGTGATTAGAAAGCGATGAGCATGTCGTTTTGACCTGTAAGCAGTCACAGGCAGAGTTAAATAAGAAGCTTGTAATCGTAGGAGTTGTTCTAGGCATGTCTTGCTATGGCGATATAAACACCACAAAAAAAAAGGTACATACAAATATATATACACACGCAAGATAGCTGAGATAGTTACACTACTCATTTCTTTTAGTTCATTGAAGGAAATGGTTTGTTCTTGTATTATTTGATCAATCTTGCATACGTATAACTTGTAATCTGAGCAGCTACTTTGAAGATAGCAATACCCAATATAATAACTGTTGTTAATTTCCTGTTATCTTGCTTTGAAATTCTGCATTGCTTTTTAGTGTTTCTTTTTTTTCCTCTTCAAAAAAACAGCACTGCAATCCAAACATGTGGGGGCCACAGAGAGAGTTTTCTGCTGAACGCCTGCAAGTCAGGCAGAAGTTGCGTAGCTGGCTTCTTTGTGTCCTGACGTCAGAAGTTAGAAATATTTTGTGAATCACATTTCAAGATGAGGTCTTTGTGTACTGCTGCTTATGGTGGTAATAGCAAAACGATTTAGGGCTTTTTGTGTTCTTGGTCTGCGCTGAGTATTTATATCTTATCTTTCTCAATCTCTAGCACAAGCCACTGTGGCAAGTATTGTCACCTGCGTATTACAGCTAAGGACTGTGAAGCACAAAGAGGTTAAGTCACTTAGGTCCCAAAGCTAAAATGTGGCTCTGTAGGGATTTGAAACCAGATGTTCCTTTTTTACCTCAGTGTCCGTGGTCTGTGGCCTTATGTAATACCCCCTACCTAATAACCCGACCTGTTATTAAAAACTCCAGATTATCTAACCTATCTCCATTCTAACTACCACCCTTGGAATATATGTAGGGAGGCGGTCAAATGTAGAATTAGGAACATGGGTTTTGGAGCAAAAAAAATCTGGATCAGATTTCATAGAAACATGAAAGCTGCAGTTTCCCCATCTACAGAAGACGTTAAAACTAGATGTGTTCTCAGGATAGCTGTGTGAGCATGCCATACGTGATGTA